GGAGGGGAAAAGGGACAAAGGAACATCAGGCTAGGGGAGAGGACGGTTAAAGCACGGGTGCACCCACAGAGGTGGGGGCCCAGTGACAGGCTGAATGCCCTCCTCCGCTGGCCATGGAAGAGCAAGCCAGGGCGGCGGGAGACACAGGCATCGATTTATCTGTGGAAGCATGCAAAGACGCAGGCAGGGGCTTCTGAGGCGCAGGGAGACATGGTGGATTTCTGTGCTCAGCGGACTCCCTGAAAACAGTGTGCATGAAGGCAGGAGAAGGAGGAAACAGAGGCTCAAAGAGCACATGCCCGGAACCAAGCTGCTGCCCAGAAGTGCTGGTGAGCGGCCGAGGGCTGGAAGGACATATCGTGAGGGGGTACTAGGGAGCCAGTGAATGTTCTGTAGCACAGACTGACTGCATGTCCCATTAGCAGGTTCCTTATTACTGGGGGATGCCTCCCATATGCCCTTTAATTTTCTCTTTCCTAAACACTTAAGAATTTTGGCAGGGCCCTGGCCAGGTAGCTCAGGTGGTTAGAGCATTGGCCCGATGTGCCACGGTTGTGGGTTTGATCCCCAGTCAGGGCACATACAAGAATCAACCAATGAATGTATCAATAAGTGGAACAACAAATCTCTTTCTTTCTCTCTCTCTCCTTACCCCACCCCTTCCCCTCTCGCTAAAATCAGCAAAAAAGTTGGGCAGACAAAGGAGAAAGGAGGGAAACTTCACAATGGAAGAGCAGCTGAACGAGAGAACCATAGCATCTCCTTTTCTTATCCGATGAGAACTTGCCTAGACAGCAGCAGTCATGGCTGCCTTTATGTACGGAGTATTCACTCTGCACCAGGCCACGTCCTGCATTCCTTTCACAGGTTCTTCTTTAACATTCGCAACAATCATAAAAGCGGCAAACTGCCACTTAACAGCTTTTAACAGCCAAAGATCCTGAGGCTCCGAGAGACCCCCACCCCACCACTCTCAGTGTCCCCCCAGAGCCTGTCCCGTGTCTGTCAGGCCACACTGCCTCTCAGCCGATGCCTCTCATCAAAGCGCCGGGAGTTCTACACTGCTGACAGCGAAACACACAGCTCGGGGAAGAGCAGGTTAACAAGAACAGGGCAGCCGGGCACCTGCCAGGCTCAGGGCACCTGCAGGCTCGGGGCACCTGCAGGCTCAGGTGATCCTGAGGTGGGAGCCCAGCAACGGACGGTGAGGGCCAGAGCCAGTGAGCTGGCAACTCCCCGCAGCTGCCGCCTGGGATCCAGCCAACTCCACTTGCAAAGAGCTCCTAGTGCTTTTCCTACAGAACTGTCTCCTTAAAGCTTAAAAGGGAGATAAATGCATCTGCTCCAAGCAGATACCCCTTGAACTCAGCAAGCACTGCTGAAGGATGGCTGGGCAGAGCGGGTCCCGGCCCGGGGAGCTCCCTGTCCCACTTACTCATGGATTAAATCTCCGTTCCTTAAGTCAGGCCTGTTCCCCGGGCACCGGGGAGACAGCCCAGCGAGGAGGAAGCAGCTCATGAGCTCCTCTTTCCCATCAGCCCCCGAGGTCTTGCGATGTGGGACCCTTGCATCGGACCCCCACTACTCAACACAAAGGAGATTAGGGGCCGCACCCTTGGGCGACAGAATCAAAATCTCTGCAGCCGGGTGGGGCATGTGCACTCACCACAACGCCCTGGGGGACTCGTGGGCACACTTGGGTGTAAGCTGATGGACCGTGGCAATACAAGGTCGTAAGCAGAGTTTCCAGGGGACGTGGGGCAGCAGCACCTACCCCGACTTCCAGAAACACCGGTCAGGGAGCTAGCTGCCACTCAGGTGAAAAAAGGAGCGAAGCGCTTTCTAAACGAAGGTGACGTGCCATGGGAGAGAGGCAGACTACGTGACCTTGACTGAACAAGATAAAAAATAAGGAGAAAACGCAAGTGCTAGTCATGGCTCGAGTCTTCATTACATGTGAGGATCCATTTCCAGTTCCTGTGCCAACGTCTGACTCCATCCAGAAAGACCACCTGCCACCCGCCCTGCCATGGGCCGCTGCGACCTCTGCAGCTGCCGGACAACAAGGGGCTGGGTGTCTAACGCTTTGTGCGGGTCCCCACGCGGCATCGCCAGGAGCCGACACGCCAGCCGACTGCTGAAAAGTCCAGGCTTCAGAGCCAGGGAGGTGTGTCTCACTGACCAGCAAACACCCAACTTCTCGGAACCTCAGTATCTGCGTTTGTAAAACGAGCCCCATCACCAGGAATGAGACAGGGTGACGCCGTCAGCCTCCTGATATGATGCAATGTCCCAAGAAGGACGCCGCGTCATCTCTCCAGCTTTTCTGCCAAAAATGCAAAGCCTGAATCGAGCAGGGAGGAAACATCAGAGAAACCCCAACTAGAGGGCATCCCACAGAATCGTTGGCATATGCTCTATAAAACCCTCAAGGCCACAGATTAAGGAAGGACTGGGGAGCTGTTCCAGATCAATGGGGACCAGAGAGACACGACAGTAAACGTCACACACAATCCTGGTGGGCTCTCAGACTGTGGGGACGATGCCAATAAAGGACCTACTGGGTCCCTACTGGGACCTACTGGGTCCTACACCGATAAAATTGGAATACGGACAACGGACTTTGAATCAGATGACAGTGCTGAGCTAATGTGCAGTTTCCTGGTTTTTATAAAGAGACGGTGGTTACATAAGAATGATTTTGTTCTTCGGAAAGACACACTGAGTATCTGATAACAGGGACAGGGACAATAACAGGGACAATAACTCTTAAATCACCCTCAACTGGTTCGGAGAAAGGCTATAGAGTAGAGAGGGAGAGCAAATAGAGAAAGCATTTAATAAAGCAAATGGAGGACAATAATAATTCACAGCTTGGGGTAAAAGGCAGGCGGGGTTTCTTTGTCCTGTTCTCGCCACTTCTCTGTGTGTGAAACTGTATCAAAATACAGTTACTCTTCAAAGCGATCAGGCCATGCAAAACAAGGAAAGACTGAGAAAGGGTAGGAGCCTCAAGGAGTCTCAGGGACCGGGACAGCAACGTGACCACGTGGTGGACAGCCCTCGATCGGCAGAACCGGAAAAAGGGCATCATTAGTGGAAAACCTGAGGAAATCCAAATAAAGTGTGCAGTCTTGTGGCCACTTACGTATCATTAATTTCCTAGTTCTGGCACGTGCATCGCTGTTACATTAAGACGTTAACATTAGGGGAACTTGAGTGAAGGGTATGTGGAAACTCTCTGTACAATCTTGGCGGTTTGCCTGTAAACCTAAAATTGTTCCAAAATATTTTTAAATATTTTCTAAAATCATGAACACGCACACATCAAAGGCCATGCCTGGAGGCTGGGACCGGACACTGACTCCACAGGCCCCACGAGCGTGGGTCAGGAGCTGCCTGCTGTCTTAACACAGACGTCCCCAAACACTCCTGGCCATGGCAGAACCCAAAGAAAACCGTTCACCTGACTCTCGGGCCGGGGCCCCAGGTGGTTCCCACGAGACCTCAGGCTTGGGCACCGGGTGTCCAGCTCCGCACTCCTCAGACATGACTTCTCAGAAGAGTCCCCGGGGCAGCCGGTGGAGATGCAGCCTCTGGGTCAGCAAATCTGAGGTGAGGTCCAGGCCTCTGTGTGTCTAACGAGCTCCCAGGTGAGGCCCGAGCAACGGGTCCGGGGCCCCGCGGAGGAAGCAAAGGAACAAGACAGAGGCACCTGGGCCCGTGACGGCGGAGCATCGCGCCAGCCTGGAAGCCGCCTTCCAGCCCACTGAAGTGTGGTTCTCTTCGGTGGTGGCCAAACCTAACCCCAACCACACTCAGTCTGCACCAAGGAGTCCCGGGCACACTCTACGATAAAACTCAACTGGCGTCCTCTCTCACGCAGCACGTGAAAGGGACAAACAGCTGTTGGATGTGTGTAAAACTACTGGGCCGGCTTCCCCCGGGGCCCACACACTACGACCGAGAGCAGTTAAAACGACAAGGACGTGCCGGTCTGGCGACACCTTTTCGACAATAATCCTCCACATTTACCTTTCCTTACGTTCATGCTCAAGCCCCACTAATGCTGGCTTGCTGCTTATAATTTATTTTAACAAATTCTCTGGATCCACACAATGCCATATAATCTTCAACCAGTTAACAAAATCTGACCGGAGAAAAAAACAGTATACCAGGAGACCATACTCATAAAATAGTACCAAGAACATGAATAAAAAGTGAACTTCCACAGTGCCCTAATTCTGAACAAGTAGAAAGCCATCTGGCATCCTCTTAGTTGCTCTATGAAACCCTCAACTGTGTATTAAGTCTCGACTCTTTTTTTTATCAGAATCATTTGCTCTAGGACAAAGGAACCTTCCTGAGCTGTCCCCAAAACTGTCGAGACCTAAGCTAGAGGGTGCCTTGAAGAGGTGAAATCACTTTTAAATCACCTTGCTACTTTTCCATTCAATGAACATTTACCGAGTAGTTATGACATGCCCGGCAATATACTAGACCCATAGTGCATTTCACACTAGTCATCAAATTACAATGGCCAGGGATCCAGGCCTGAACCCACCACACTAATTTCATTATCGAGCTGTTAATATAATGCACTTGGCTGCTTCTGCAAAACTGGAAGAGCAACATGATTCAAAAAATTAAGCTCTGTGTTGCCTATGATAAAACAATCTGCCTGTATTCAGGAGGCCCTGCCAGGCGGGCTGGGACAGCCTCCGCTGTGTCAGCTGCCCAGAGCCGGCCGTCCACGCGTCCCTCCCGCCCATGTCACAGCTTCAGACACAAGCCCTGTATTGACACCAGCCCCGGAGATGTCGGAGGAGTGAAAAGCCCATGTGTCACCGCCGCACGGAGCACAAATCAAACTACACTGCCCTGTCCCTGCACAGCCAGAGAGCGAACAGGGGAAAAAGAGAGCCATCCAAAGTCTGCGAAAATTCCAGAACAGAGAGGAAACCGAGAGTAACCCCCGCAGGGCTCCCGGCATTACCGACCTGGTCGATTTCCATGAGTTTGGGGTAGGCGCCCGGCCATTCTATGGCCACCTTGACGATGTCCGCGGGCGGGGGCATTGTGAACCCGGAGAGTGTCCGCGGCCGGTGCACCTGGGCTCCTGCAGGGCGGGCGGCCACACGTGTCTATCCCTGAGGAGGAATGACAAAGAGAGAGAGAGAGGCGCTCAGTGCACACGCAAGGCGGATTCTGCTGCATCACTTCCTGTTTTCACTGGTGGTTTGGGTATAAGAAACGGCCGGGCACAGAAGGCACAGGGCGCCAACGGCACCTCCGCCGCTCCGGAGCAGACAAGACCGAGGAGGGGAAGGTGCCGCCGCCCTGAGTCAAAGCTGCGGGGAGACACCACCCTGGGGGGGACAGCCTCCTGACTCTTCGCTGGGGGAAGCCAGGCGCCCCTCACCGCGGCTTCTGCCCCCCACGGGGCCCGGGGTCTGAGCGAGCGGGACTCGCTCCGTCCAGAAAGGCACAGAAACCCGCGCGCTCAACAGTCTCCGGAAGGACAGATTGCCCAGGAAGTCATGGTCAGGAAGCGGAGTTTCTTCAAAGTGCTTTCTGTGTGTCACAAACAGAGCCCTGCACTATAGCAACCAGGATGTCACAAGGAAGGGGCCACGGCTCCAGGTTCACACACAGGCACACACACACACACGCTCCCTCCCCTCGGCCCGTCCACGCAAGACACCTTCGCCCGAGGGCGGGGGCCCAGCGTGGAGAACAGACCCCGGATTCTCACTCCACTCAACAGCGCTGCTGGCGCAAACTAGGCAGATGATCTTCCCCCAGACTAGCCCGCCTCTTCTAGGATGGACTTGTTAACTTTAATACTTTTGAACAGGCAAAACACATGATTCAAAATATGAATATGTGTGTGATTTTATGCAAAGTAGAGTCTCCCTCCTCCCGAAGTGGCCCACCTACACAATGTCCGCTTGGACCCCCTCCCTCCCTCCACTGTCACTAGTCTCTTCTGCATTCCTCTAGAATTTCTTCCCATACACAAGGCAAATGCAAACATATATTTCACTTTCCCCTTTATATAAAAGGCAGCATTCTCTATCTACCCTGTTTTCTTTTTCATTTTGTGTATCTTCTAAATCTTTCCACATGGGTACGAATATTGCAATCCGCTTCCTTCGCCAGCGCCACCGCAGTTCCTGGAATGGAACTACCCCATCTGATGAAGCTGTCCTCTGCCGTGGGACCCTGCGGGACTTCTTCCCTCCGACTGTCACAAACACGGAGCGCTCTGTCACTTCATGCGCACGCCACTCTGCACACGTGCAAACACATCCTGCTGAGAGAGTCGCGGACGTGAAATTGCTGGGTCAGAGAGCACGGGCAGTTTTAAATTCCGGTGCCCAGTTCCGAACATCGCTCCACGGGAGCGGTGCCCATCCACACTCCCTCGAGCAGTGGATGAGGCTGCCTCCTGACACACGGCCTCGGCAACAGACTGAACTCCGGCACGCCCGGCACTCTGGAAAGAAATAGGTCTCAGTGAGCTTTTAACCTGCATTTCCCTTACAGTGAGTGAGGTTGAACTTGAAAAGGCAAATTCCCACGTCCACTTTTCTGTGAACTGTCCAAAGCCTCTGCCCATCTTCCGCTGGGTGCTGGGTCGTTTGTTGGAGACATTGATCTCTGCAAGAAGATTCTAATCAAACATGTGCTCATGGGGTTTTATCAGGCCAGAGTAAGCTTTGTCAGGCCCTACCTCATGGCAGGTGGACATTAATGAGATGATAGAGATGAAGCTAAGAATGGCAGCCTGGACAGCATGGGCCGTTACATAAATCACTCGCTTCACCAGAGCCGACAGGCAAAGGAAATGAACCCCAACAAAAGGACTGCTCCTCCGGTCCGGGACGACGCAGGAAGCCCACTGTGCAGATAATCAGTGCTCACCAGTGAGAGCAAATCCACTCAGACAGCACAGGATTTTTTCTCCCATGCTTTTATGTTTAATAAAAGTTTTTTATTGATTTTTTATTATTGTTCCAGTACAGTTGTCTCTCTTTTCCCTCCACTACTCCCCCCACCCCACCCATCCCCACCTCCCACCCTCCATCCTACCCCTTTGGCTCTGTCCATGGGTCCTTTATACATGTTCCTTGATGACCCTTCCCCTTTTTCCCCTGTTATCCACTCCCCACTTCCCTCTGATTATTGTCAGTTTGTTCTTTATTTCCATGTCTCTGGTTATATTTTGGTTGCTTGTTTGTTTTGTTGATTAGGTTCCACTTATAGGTAAGATCATATGGTATTTGCCTTTTACTGTCCGGTTTATTTCACTTAGCATAATGCTCTCCAGTTCCATCCATGCTGTCACAAATGGTAGGAGTGCCTTCTTTCTCTCTGCTGCATAGTATTCTATGTATAAACGTACCACAGTTTTTTGATTCCTTCATTTACTGATGGGCACTTAGGTTGCTTCCAGCACTTGGCTATTGTAAATTGTGCTGCTATAAACATTGGGGTACACAGGTTCTTTTGAATTGGTGTTTCAGGGTTCTTAGGGTATAATCCCAGCAATGGAATTGCTGGGTCAAAAGGCAGTTAGTTCCATTTTTAGTTTTCTGAAGAAGTTCCATACTGTTTTCCATAGTGGCTGCCCCAGTCTGCATTCCCACCAGCAGTGCACTAGGGTTGCCTTTTCTCCACAGCCTCACCAGCACTTGCTGTTTGTTGATTTGGTTGTGATGGCCATTCTGACTGGTGTGAGATGGTATCTCACTGTGGTTTTAATTTGCATCTCTCTGATGGCTAGTGATGCTGAGCATCCTCTCATATGTCTCTGGGCCCTCTGTATGTCCTCCTTGGAGAAGTGTCTGCTCGGGTCCTTTGCCCATTTTTTAATTGGGTTGTTGGTTTTCCTGGAGTGGAGTCGTGTGAGTTCTTTATATATTTTGGAGATCAAACCCTTGTCCAAGGTATCATTGGCAAATATATTTTCCCATACGGTTGGTTCCATTTTCATTTTGCTGATGGTTTCTTTAGCCGTCAGCACAGGATTTTTGAGCCCCACTCTGTGCTTGTCCTCAGCGCTGGGGACCCAGACGTTAGATGTCACTGGGGGGCAGGGAGAGCAATGGAGCCAGAGGAGAGCCTGAAGCACGTGGGTGTGTCCCTTCGGAAGGGGCCAGAGCCCAATTGTATGTAATTCGGAAAACCAGGGACAGCGGCACTGAGAAGGCTGGATGTGAGTCAGGACCTAGGAGAGGGGCGGAGGTAAGCCATGTAGGCATAGAGAAACCACGTCACAGGCCATGGGAACAGCAAGGCAAGGCCCTGAGGCAGGAACCTGTCTGGGATGTTCCTGAACCGGGTGACTGGCTGAAGCCAAGAAAGTAAGGACAACAGTAATAATTTCTGACAGTCATTGGGTCGAACGTGGCAGGTTCATTCACAGTACTCCTGACCCCGTATACACTTTACCCTTGGCTGTGACTTAAGAAGAAAGTTCATGTCCACGGGCATCTATTCAGAGTATGCATTGGTACAACTTTCCAGAGGTGCTTTCGGCAACCTGCACGAAAAGCCTTAAAATTGTGGATTCTTTCTGAGTTAAGTTTACTTTTCTGGGATATTTCCTCAAGAAATAGTTATTAACTAAACCTTAACAATGCCAAGTACTGTTTTGGTTGCAATTCCAGAAACTTGGAAACCAATGAATATTCAACACCAGACAGGTTAAATCATTGTGGACCCTCATGCACAAATACAGGCAGGCAGTCGGTGCTCAGGGCTTCCTCTCTGTAGTCCGTACACTACTTTATTCACTTGAGAATTCTAAGGACAATGTGTTATATCTGTACCACGGTACTTCAACCCAGATTCAGTTACACGCCCTAGAACAGGAACCGAAACAACAGGCTCTAATGCAAAACCAGACGCGTAGCGACTATCAGGCAACGGGATTCAAAGCAAAGAGCACACAGTCTTGAGGGTGAAGAAAAGAAACAATGAGACAAAAAAATGCATCTGGAGCACCCGCCTCCCAACTCACACAAACCGGTCTAGAATTACGCGGAAAGGGGTCATCCAGCCTTCCAGGAATCAAAAGCCAGGTGTGCTTCTCTTCCCCTGTTGCTGGGATTGATTTCTCACAGGCCGTTCAGACAAAACCTGTTGAACAGGTGAGAATACAATAACGTGGTTCTCTGTGGGTGTCCATGGGGAGTACACGGGAGCTGCGCACAAAGCAGCCATTCAGAGCGGAGAGGCCAGGGCATCCCCTGGGAGCTCACTGAACCCAGTCCGATCAGGCCGCATGGCTCGTCCTCAGGTTACCGCACAGCACGGACAGGAGAAGAAGCCAGGCCCCCGCAGGGTGGGGCCCGGGGCACAGCTGCAGAATAAATAATCCAGTCTACATCGCTATCCTCAGAAGTCCATACTTCATCCTCCTGAATGTATATTTCCGCTAGGGAGCTGCTAGCTCTCCAGGCTCCTATATATAGTCACTGTTGCTGCTGATGAAATTGAGGGAAGGAAGTTTCCAGCACAGATTTTCTCACCCTTGACACAGTTAGCATTTGGGGGGCATGGTCCTTTGTTGTAGGGTCGCCCTGTGCACTGTAGGATGGTTAGCCATATCCCCGGCCTCTACCCACCAGAAGCCAACAGCCCCTCTCAGCCTCGGCAGTCAGGGACATTGGCAGACACGGCCAAGCGTCCTCTGAGCTCAGAATCATCCTCCAGTTACACGGTGAGCTACCAAGCGCTCTGGGCCACCCATCGCGGAACTTGACCCAAGACAAATCGTCTCATCGGGCTCTCCAAAAAACATGACCAGGCAGGCCTATGCACGGCCACCCGTGACCACAATGGTGGGCTTTGCTTCCCCAGGGCCACGCTTGCAGCTCTCGCCTCTACTGGTCGCCTCGCCTCCACCCAGCGGGAGCACTGTGAGGGCAGGGAGCATGCCCTGATCGCAGCGACACCAGCAGGGCGGGCAGCCTCTCACACCGGGCTGCCAGCCGCACGCGGCCTCCCTAGGACCAACGTCCCATCAGAGCTGCTGGAAGTAAAATCACGTCTAGTATCATCAAAATTGGCCGTTTATATAAGCTACATGATTTGGGTAAACAGCCTGAGGTAATACTTCTCATGCAAACGAAAATTTAAG